TTTGGGTCGAGATTCAATCTTCAGCATGTGGAGAGCCAGTTTTCTCAGCAGCATTTGCTAAAGAGGCTGTCTTTCCTACAGCGCATATTTTTGGCCCCTTTGTCAAAAATCAGATGGCTGAACGTTCCTGGGGTTGTTTCTACATCCTCTGTTCTGTTCCACTGAATCACATGTCTGTTTCCCTGCCAGTGCTGTATTAAGATAAGGTCTTGCTTATCTATTTTCTTCAGGGCTTTTATCATGAACAGATGTTGGGTTTTGTCAAAGGCTTTTTCAGCATCTGTTGAGATGATCATGTGATTTTTGGCCTTGCTTCTATTTATGTGATGTATTACACTTGCTGATTTGCATATGTTGAACTATCTTTGAATTCCTGGGATGAGTCTTACTTGGTCATTGTCAAGTAAAAGGACTAAAGACCAAGACCAGACCAGGCCACAACAAGCCTTTATTAGGGGAATAGATCTGCCAGGCTGTCTCTGAACAAAGGAGAGACAGAAAGCAATATGGCTGGGGCAGGGAGTGTCTTTTACAGAGACTGGGGTGGGGTTTGTAGGGGCTGAGGTGGGGTTGAGTGAGGTAGTGACTAGGGAACGGAGGAGCCGGTGATGTCACTAGGTGGTAGGAGGTGAGCGAGTATTAGGTTACTCTCTAGGCGGGAACAGGGGCATGCTGGGAAGAAGGGTTTGTTCTTTGGTGGGAGCAGCCATCTTGGCATAATGTCACACAGGCGAGGGGTCAAGGCACAATAGGAAGAGGGCAGCTACTATACATAATAGCTGCTGAGGTAGTGGGAGACCTATCAGTCATGATGTATGATCTTTTTGATGATTTGTTGCATTCTGATTGTCAGTATCTTGTTGAAAATCTTTGCATCTATGTTCATTAAAGAGATTAGTCTGTACTTTTTTCAGTTGATTCCTTTTCTGGTTTTAGAATCAAGGTAATGCTGGCTTCCAGGAGTGAGTTTGGCAGTATTCCTTCCTTTTGAGTTTCATTAAAGAATCTGAGGAGTATTGGCATTAGATCTTCCCTGAAGTCCTGACAGAATTCAGTGGTAAATCTGTCAGATGCTGAGTTTTTCTTAATTACTAGGTTTTTAACTACTGCTTCATTTCAATGCCTATTAATGGATAATTCAGGAGTTTTGTATCTTCTTGGTTCAATTTTGGTAGTTCATATGTATCTAGGAATCTGTCCATTTCTTCTGGATTTTCCAATTTATTAGAGTATGGTTATTAAAATAATTACTAATAATTTTCTAGATTTTGGCAATGTACATTATGATTTCACCTTTTCCATTTCTCTTTTTTAAAACATTTTCCATTTCTAATGGAATTGATATAGGTCTTTTCTTCTCTTTCTTTGGTAAGATTGGCTAAGGATTTGTCTATTTCATTTAGTTTTTCAAAGAACCACTTCTTGTATTCTTGATGCTTTGTAATGTTCTTTTAGTCTCAATTTTCTACTGTAATCTCTATAATTTACTTCCTTGTATCTGTTTTGAATTTGGACTGTTCGTTTTCCTAGGATTTAGGTTATTTATTTAGGATCATTCTGTTTTTCTGATTTGGGCCTTTACAGCTATAAACCTCCATCTGGGACTGCTTTCACTGTGTCCCATGGGTTCTGGTGTGCTGGACTGGCATTGTTGTTTGATTCTAGGAACTAGTTTCTTCCTTGACTTTCTCTGTGACTCTTTGGTTAGTCAAGAACGTATTGTTTAATCTTCATGTTTTTGCATAATTTCTGTTTCTTTTGCTATTGATTTCTAGTTTCATTACACTATGATCTGATAATATGCATGCAATAGTTTTGATTCTTTTGTATTTACTTAAGCATGCTTTGTGGGTAGCATGTGGTCTATTTTGGAGGAAATTCTATGTGCTCCTAAGAAGAATGTGTAAGCTGTTGTTGGGTAGAACATTCTGCAGATATTCATTAAGTTTATCTGTTAGAGAATGTGGTTCAACTCTATTATTTCTTTGTTGATTTTTTTTTGTCTAGTTGATCCGTGTATTTGTGATACTGAGGTCCTCTAGTCTAATTATGTTCATATTTATCTCATCTTTTACATCCAGCAGTATTTCTTTTATCAAGTTGAGGGCACCAGTGTTTGGTGCATATTTATTTATAATTTTTATCTCTTCCTGTTGAACTGCTCCCTTAATCAATATGTGGTGACCTTCTTTGCCTCTTCTGATCAGTTTTGGCTTGAAGTCTGCTTTGTCTGAAAATAGGACAGCTGCTCCTGCTGGTTTTGGGGTTTCCACTTCATGAAATTTGTTTCCATCCTTTGATTTTTGGTCTGTGAATTTCTTTGGGGATAAAATGTGTTCCTTTCATATAGTATACCATTGGGTTTTTTTTTTACCCTATCTGCCAATCTATGTCTTATGACTGAAGAGTTGAGGTTATTCACACTGAGAGTTATTACTGAAACACACTGACCTATTCCTGTCATTACATGTTGTCTCTCTAGGATATCTTGGAGAATTTTTTGTAGTGCTGGTTTGGTGGTCATGAATTTTTTTAAGATGCTCTTTGTTGTGGAAAGACTTTATTTCTCCATCAATTTTGAAAGATAGCTTTGGAGAATATTTTAGTCTGGGTTGGGAGTTGTTTTTCTGTAGGGCTTGAAACACTTCACTCCAAACTCTCCTGATCACAAGGTTTGTGTTGAGAAGTCTGCTGTAATTCTAATGGGCTTAACTTTATAAGAGATTCATTGTTTTTCACTGGCAGTTTTCAAGATTCTGCCTTGTGGTGAGCTCCTGGGATTTGGGCTATGGTGTGTCATGGAGAAGTCCTTTTCTGAGTGTGGCTGTTTGGGTTCTGTATCCCTTGCTTATCTGTATGTTAAATTTTTTCCTTATTCTTGGAAAGTTTTCTATTATTTCTGTAACCAGGGTATTTGTGCTGTCTTCTGATTTTTCACTAACTCTAATTAATTTTAGATTAGTCTTCTTTGCATTATCTAGCAGCTGTTGGATCCATTTTCCATATTCTCTTGTTTTTAAAGTATCTCTGAGAATATGGTCACCTGCATCAGTCCTGTCGTCTCCTTTTTTTTGGTGCCGGGGATCAAACTTGGGTCCTTGGGCCTGCGCAGCAGGCGGCGAAACCACTGAGCTAAATCCCTGGCCCCTGTCTTCTACTTTTGGCACTCTGTCCTCACACTGGTCACTTCTGCTGCCCATACTTTCAACGGAATTTTTTATCTCCTGGCTTTCTATTTGCTACCTGTTCATGGACTCTTAATTCTTTGCTAAACTGGTCATTTATGCATTGTATCCTTTTGTTTATCTCAGCTAGCTTTTTATTAGTTTCTTCTGTAAGTTCACTAACCATTTTATTAAGTCTGTTATCTGTTTAATTATATCATCTTTGAGATCATTGAGCACCTTCTTGACCTGTTGTTTTGTTTTGTTTTGGTTCATTTTGTTGCCTTGTTGTCTCATGTTTCTATTGGGGTGTGTGTGTGTGTGTGTGCGCACTTGTTGAAGGTGTGGGTCAATTACAGTGGAAAGACTTTGTTGCTAGTATAGCAAGGTACTTTTTAATCCCAGGAAGACACATGTTCCCAGACCCTGGGGGAGCAGCGGGGAAATATGATGAGGAGCGTCCTCCATCTCCCCTTGCCTGTGATGAGTTCTGGGAGCAGGATCCTTTCTGCAGGAGAAAGACTTTGGTTCCCTTCAGTAAATCAAAATAATGATTATAAAGTGCTCCATCTGTGGTCCTTCCTCCTTCCCAAAATAAGTAACTCGACACCAGACTCAGTGGTACCACCTGCCTTTGGAAGTCACCCCAACAGCTGCTAGAGGGGGCATTTGTCATCCAACAACCCAAACGTTGAGATGTCTTCATTCAGCTGACTCAAATGTGCCAAGCCAAAATCCAGAAAGGTCCAGAACCGAGTGCAAGGCGGCTCCAGCCTAATGGGAAGAACAGAAAAGGAGGAGCAAATTCTCACGCATTGTCCTGCAGCCATGCTCTGCCTCTCACTGCTGTGTGGTCTGGGGCTGCCACTGGACATCTCAGGGTTCTGTCTATGAAGTGGAACTGATGACCCCGTCTTGTAGGTGGGTGAGTGGATTAGATGAGTTCACGTATGAAGAGCCGTCTAACCCAGAGCCTGAGCCTGGGAGGAGCTTACTTGGTGTTCCATGGCTCCAGGCCCTGGGGAAGAGGGTCAGCAGGGATTTGAGTCTCTGCCCAGTGACAAGCCTCCAGCAAGCAGTCTGCTCAGCCGGCAGGAGGGCAGGGCCTCCCTCCTTCCCGCTCCTCTGCCTTGTCCATCTCCCTTTGAGGGGACTGCAGAAGAAGCCAATGCCAGCGAGAGATTCCTAGTTCAAGGCTTACGACGGCTGCACTTGCAGTGGCTCTAATTCTGCCAGGCCTGCATCCAGATCCTGCTCGGCCCTGAATACTCTGAGCAGCATTATGATTCTCTGGGTTACCGCTCCTTCATCTGTGAAATGGAGCTAAGAATCCCACCCCATGGATCTATGGTGAGGGTTTAAGAGAGTTAGAGGTGTGTGGAAAGTTCTCCCAGGATGAGTGGGACGGAGAGGAGGCTGGATGTGCGTCTTGGTCCAGTTTCTGTCTCTGTAACAGAACACCTGAGATAAGTAACTTATAAAGAATAGAGGTTTGTTTGGGCTCACGGTTCTGGAGGCTGCGAAATCCGAGAGCCTCGTGCTGCTTCCACTCAGAGGAAGTGAGAGGGTGGGCGGGAGCCCCAGAGGGGGCAAAGGTGAGGGGCAGCTCGCTCTCACAGTGACGGAGGCGAGCACCAGAGCAAGAGCATGCCCCATCCTTCCCACCTCATCGCCTGCCCAAGGCCCCAGCGCCCTTAGCACTGCCCTCCGCCCCCGCCCCAATTTCCACGCAAGTCTGGGGGGCGAGGATGGAGCACGCGGGAGCCACAGCAGTGACCACGGCGGTGACGGCAGTGACAACACCACGGGGACAGTGAGGCTTCCTCCCCTCCTCAGGTGCCCCCGGAGATGGCCCAGGGCTGGTGTGAAGAGAAGGAGATGCCCTACTTTGAAGTCAGCGCCAAGAACGACATCAACGTGGGCCAAGCCTTCGAGACGCTGGCCAGACGGGCTCTGTCCAGGGTGAGTGTGTGGCGGGGGACACGGGAGCGTCCAGAGAGGACCACACCGGCCCGGGGTGCGGGGGTGCTCTCCATCCTGGCGAGTTCGGTGCCGAGGGGTCCCCAGTTCTGGAACCACAGACCACAAAGTGCCTTCGAGGCGTGGCCAGTGCCAGACTCGTCCAGCGAGGGCTCGGAAGTGGTGGCCCAGTGGTCTCCCCACAGCAGGGCAGAAGCCCCGACGCCAAGCATTCATCCAAGTGCCATATGCAGCGTGCAGGAGGCGCTGCACCCTCCCAGGGAAAGAGGGGCAGGCCTCTGCAGCCGGCAGGACTGCACACAGCTGGCATCCGTGCCCGGCACTGTGCCACGTCGGGGACCCCAGTCTCGGGAGGGAGACAGGCACACAGTGGTTTAGGACCTGGGGGCACCCCGACCACCACCCTGTGGGGGAATAGAGGGGAAGGTCACTTGGAAGCAGTAGCGGGGGCGTTTGGTTTTGTTTCACAGTACTGGGCATTGAACCCAGGACCTTCACACTGAGCTACACCTCCAGCTCGTTTTTAACAGATTTTAAATTTTGAGACAAGGTCTTGCTAAGTCACTAAGTTGCCCAGGCTGGGCTTGAACTTGCCATCCTCCTGCCTCGGCCTCCCAGAGTGCTGAGTGTCGCGGTCACACCTGACTCGTAGCAGGGCTTTGGTGCCATCCTGAGTGGAGTTGGGGGGCTCAGAACAGGAGATGAACTGGAGCAAGGGCTCAGCTCGTTCAGCATCGTGCCGCCTTTAATCAAGGTGGGCTTCTTAAAATATGGGGCGTGGCGGTCATGGCAGCAATGAGGCATAAAGGAGAAATGCGGATGGGAGCTGGCAGCTCCCCCTGAGCGAAGCAGTGCCTGCCCCGTGTGACCCCGCCTTGCCGCTGCCAGACGCTAGGGTACAGTGGGGAGGACGGGCGGCAGCGCCCTCTGGCGGCGGCGCAGGGGCGGGCTCGAGCCCGGCCTCCGGCCTCCGCGGCCCGGTCTCCGCTCAAGCTTCCCCGCCCACTCGCCGGACCTGGACCTCGCCGGCTCCACTGGAAGGCAAGCAGCGGGGTGTCCATTTCTTAGGGCAGAGCGAAGCGCTGTGGCCTTATTACAGAGGCAAGGTGGCTCCCGACGTTCAGTGAGTGAACCTCCTGCGTGATCCCCGGGAACATTACTACTCGGCCTCGCGTGGGGGTGTCATCATCCCCTCCTCCACAAACAAGGTGCAGCTGTTTGCCAACAGTCACGGCTTCCAGCAGCCGCTGCCTACGTCTGTGTGGTCAGCCTTGGTTCCTTAAGGGGACAGAGCGGCTCTTATTGCTGAGATCATGTCCTTCCTGTTGATGTGGTCACACTGTCCTTCCCACAGGGTCGCTTTTACGAGGTAATGCCATTAGTAGATGTTGGCTCGTCTGCGTATTCCTTTTAACAGTCCTTCCTGAAAACAGAACAGACTGGAGATCTCATATCCGCCCCCCACGCTTACGCAGCAAACTGACCTTGAAGACCGGAAGTCACGGGTGCCCTGTCTGCAGTCAGACTGGCCTGGATTCGAGTCCTGCCCTGAGCCTTCAGGTGGACGCCTGGGCACAACATAGCACTCATCCCGGCCTCGGTTTCCTTCTCTATAAAGCAAAAGTAATTCAATGCCATAAGCGGAGGTTTGGAAAAGTAACGTTTTCACAGTAAGAGAAACACACGAGGACGGCAAAGTCAAATCCGTGTGAAGTTTATTTTGAAGCAGAAGTTTGCACACAGACGGAGGCCGAAGAAGTTTTCGCGACATTTCCCAGAAGGCCCCGGGGCCTTGTGTGCGAATGAGGCCGAGCTGCAGGCCCCGGCCTGGGTCCAAAAGACAGGACGGGGAAGAAGCGGGCAGAGGCCTGGGTGAGTCCAGGGTGGGCGGCGCAGGGCGCCGAGCCTGCGGTCCTGTTCTCCCGCCTCGGGCTCCCGGCTGGCAGCTGGGGCTTGGTGTGGAACCTGTGAGCCAGGATCGCCCCAAGCTGGGATGTGGGGCGTCCCGGGGGCCTCGGCAGGGGAGGACTTTCATCTGCAGAACAGGCCGCCGCCGCCGCCGTTTCTTCCTATCAGTCTGCATCCCGACTTACATCGCTAATAATGGAAAAGATTTCCCTGTCACCTAGGCCGACTCAGGGTGGCCGGTGCTGTGCCGGCCCTCCAACTCTACCAGGGAAGGGTGAGAAATGGGGGCCTTCGGGCGTGGTGGCACAGGCCTGTAATCCCAGCCACGGGGGAGGCTGTGGCAGGAGGACCACAGTTCAAGGCCAGCCCGGGGAACTGAGCTGGGGCTGTAGCTCAGTGGCACAGCACTTGCCTGGTAGGTGCAAGGCCCCAGATCTTCTCA